TTTTTGGTTTTTGTTTTGTTTTTTTGTTTTGTTTTGTTTTGTTTTGTTTTGTTTTGTTTTGTTTTGTTTTTTTTCTCTGCGGGTTGAGATTAAATTTACCACTCTTCAAACAATCTTTTATGTCAGCTGTTGACTTGCAAAGACACAGAAAACGAGAAATTAAAACCCAGCTTCTTGAAGCCTCTGGGCCCACTTGCCCTTTTGCTGCTCCATAATTTACGGGAGTTTTCAGCCTAAAAACTATTTTTACGAGATATTTTTAAACTGAAATTCATATCAGCGAATTATTTTCTTTTTTATCCTCACCTAAAAGTCTTAGAGAAGGCTGCGTCTCGTGAGCAACTTCGCTGAGCAGGCGCTATATCGTCTGTTGTAGCCAATATAATGGGATTTCTATCGCCTGATAGTACCAGCGCGAGATTATACCATTTGGCCATAACGACACAGGTAAACTTAGTGGTGAACTATAATTAATAATTAGAGTATGAACATTTCTGTGGGGTATTACTATAAATCTACTAGAGGTCTATCACGAATGTCGTTCTCTGATTGGCTACGTCACTCACTATCTATTCTGTGGTAGATAGTAGCGTAGCAGGGTGACCTTGTTAACAAAATGGCAGCCGCTTCCTGGCGTTTTCGAAGTGTCTTTGAAGAAGATTTATATAAAGTTTTGAACTAGTAGCGGATTTATACTTAAACAATTAGATTATTCGCTCTCGATTTCTATGTGTGATAGTTGACGAAGGCTGCGCCCTCGTCAACTATCCCGCGATATAAATCTCTAGCTCATAATGGGCATATTCCCGAGGCATATTTTGAGCATTTTAGTTTTCAGAAGAGTCTTTGGTCGAAATCCAAACCGTGGGACCCAAAAATGCGTAATATCAGATCAAATATCCCGCTTTAGCGTAGTGCCATTGCTTGTTGCACTGCAGACGTCCACTCATTTCAAGAGAGGAATAATTTATCGCTGTCAATGGATGGAAAACGTTGCAATTCCAACGCTTGACTGTCTGAGGAAAAGCGAATCTTCAAATTAAAAATCCACGTGTTCCTAGAAAGTAATATATTGTTGCTTGTTAGAAAGGAGTGGTGAGATGTGATTGTTTTGTTCGTTAAAAAAGTGCTTACCTACAAAACACCCGTGTTTTTCTCTACGAGAACGATTTTTATTATTATTGTTATTACTATTATTATTATTACTATTATTACTATTATTATTATTATTATTATCATTAATTTTTTTTTTCTTTTCATATTTTGTTAAGGATGGCCGAACAGAAGTCCTCGCAAATAAAATCAAACGTCCCCACCCTAGGGCCCAAAGTCTTAATCAAATCCCGAGGGTGGGGAAGGCAATGGATATCCAGTGTCCCAAAAAAAAAAAATAAAATGAAATAAAATAAACTGTCCCATTTATGCCCGAGATTTCCCCTCCCTTCGGAATTAACATTGGTATCTGCATGAAATGACGTTCACAGCAAGCCTTGTGGCAGAAGCCAAATTACGGAATTTATTCTTAGTACTTTTAGCAGAAACGTTGGTCTCTGGCTTTTGTTCCTAGTTGTCTAACGAATGTTTCATTTACTCTAGTATAGATGCTCTTCGAGATGGAAAAATATACACCATGGTCATTTTCAATTTATCTAATCTTTTAACTCTAATATTTTTATGTCCTTGTGACTTCTCATTCCTTTAATTTCCACATCGAAAACCCAACAGAAAAGCAGTTGCTATATGCGGCATTCTAATACCAGGAAGCGCAAACTACACGATGAACCGAATCGAGCTGGAAGCATATACATTTATTGTGCAAATGAGATCTCTTAGAAACGCCATAGTGCCACTTTAATAAATTATTCACCTCAAAAATGACTTATTATTATTATTATTATTATTATTATTATTATTATTATTATCGTTTTTGTTGTTGTTGTTGTTGTTGTTTCGTCGTTGAAACTGTTTCACGCAAGTTCTGTAAGTATTATCCCTTCATCAGTGGAAATAGTGGGATTTTAAAGCAATCACCGGTTGACGTAATGCAAAACCATAGAAACCCCGAGACATTTCCCATACTCCATTGAAATACAGATGACGTGTGCCGTTTCAATTTAGCTGCAGAATTTCCGTCGAGTTCAGTGCAGGTTCCTTTTGTTTAAGTTTCGGCAATGTGAAGATTATTCTGAACAATCCAAACTCTACTTCGAGCCTTCGACTTTTGCCAAGCTAAGATGTTTACTTAACGTGAGTATTTTGACTTTGTTTGTCTACATTTTCATCGAGTATTTTTTTTACTTTGTCTGCCTACATTTTCATTATAATTAATTCGAAGAAGCGAATTTTTCATCGACAATTTTAGAAATCAGGTTATTAATAAACGTTTTCGCTCGACCGTTGCCGTCAACTGATTGTGGCGTGTTAGGATCCGAATGACCTTTGTTAAAACATGCTTTAGCACCCAAGTTATCGTCGCCATGTCATAAAAGAATTGGTTCATGCTTGAAGCTGTGCGTATATCGAGTTATGGACGCACTTGGCAAGTTTGGAGAGCACTCAAGAAACTAGAGTTGCTCTCGGCTGTCGCCTCGAGCAACTCTTACGCCTCTTTCGTGCTCTCCAAACTTCCCGCGTGCATCCATAACTCGATACACGCACACTAAGCGTTAGCATGAATCAATTGTAAAGTGTTCTTCACCATCTACTGGTATATTAGGAACTCACAATGTGACCAGCCTCCATTTTTTTTTTTCTTGGCCAGGATTGCAATCCTGGTCAAAGGGCTTGGGACACTTCGCCCTTTGGCCAACATATAGTCTTTCTGTCCACCTCCCCCTCCCCACCCCAAACACAATATTGATGTTGATTCATCCAAAGTAGACACAGTATTCTGACATTTTTTTTTTTTTTTTTTTTTTNGGGGGGGGGGGGGGGGGGGGGGGGGGACGAGAGGAGGTGGTGCGGCAAATTTAATAATGACTTCCCACTTCAAAATAATACATCACCAGTTGTTATTTTGTCAAGCATCCAGGACTTTTGGCCAGGATTGTAGGTTAGACTGATAAGTTTGGGTTGTTACGAATAATAGGAGAGGAACACTCGAAAAGCTTCTAAATAATTCGCCCAACGTCGCTTGATTGACAAGCTTTTCTCCGTGGCTTGTTAAGGCTTGATGACACCAAAGCGTGATCGTACTCTGTTGTTTGTTTTGGCCAACGACGACAAAGGAGAATTTAGAGGTGGACTATAAAAGGTGATTTGAATAAGTGTACAAGTAAAACTCTACCAATAATACTATGAAATGATTGAATTTCTACCTGCGGGGAATAGACTGAATGATTACCTGTACACAGAAAATCTTTGCCACTCCACGTCCCGTTTTCAAGACATTTCCTTGACGGACACCCGAACTCGTTGAATCCAGTACCACATGAAAACAGACAGACTGTATTGTAATATTCTATTGTTTTTCCTGAGCAGCTCAGCCGCATACCATTGAATGGGGCTTCCAGAGCTGGACAGGTAACGGCTGTAAAAGATATTACGAAATTTTCAGGCCCTCTGAGCAATACGCACGTCCCCTGAGCAATACACATCTGCCTGTCTCTTTGATTGTCTGCCTGCCTGCTCGTCTGCCTGCTGCCTGTTAATTTACTTGTTCGTCTGTAGGTCTATGTCAGTATATGCTAGTCTGCCTACCTGTTTTTCTAAGTGTCCGCAAGTCCGACTGCTTATTTATCGGCCTGTCTGCCTAACTGTCTTATCTACTTGCCTCTGAGGTTCTCTGTCTGACTGTGGGACCGTCAATGTGAAGTGTCTGAAATACAGATATTACACTTCAGCCTGTCTTTTTCTAAAACTTTCTAACGCTTATGAAAAACAAGCGAATAGGCCTTTTTTCTTATTAATTCGTTTAATTTCACGTTCATGCATTTGCAATCAGTGGTAATATATGTCCTCACCATTACAATGAGTTTGTGTTCCATTCCAAGTTCCATTACTGCTGCATTTCCCAGTTACAGACCCAGCAACTTTGAACCCTCTATCACAGGAAAATATGCAGGTTTGGCCTGGCAAATTGGAACACCGCTTTGAACTTCCGTTGGCGGGCGCAAATAACTGGGGACGGCGTTTCACTATTATTAAAAAAAAGATATTGAAAAAAGGTACGATTAAAAAGCAAGTTGACGTTGCTAATATGTACACTAATTTACTGTAGGCCTAAGTACTAATGAACTCTTTTTATACAGGACTTGTGATTGGCTGTATGGAAAAAATAGTTCAAGGTATAAGATAACTCATTATTCGCGAAATAAACATTAAGGTAAAATGTTCGCCAAATATAGATAAAACGCGCGTAAAATTTGGCACCTTCTAGTACTATTTCATTCATGCAGGAGCCATAATCGAGGACGGAGACCGTAAGTCTTGGGATCCGCGCGCACCTTTGATATGGGACAATTTTTCTATTTTTAGAACAAATTTCGCCATCCTGACGTCATATATCCGCGCGGATCCACGCACATGTCGATGGCTCTCGCGTGGATGTTGTCGCGTTGCGTGATCAAATAGTGAGAGTTGAGAGACCTTGAGAGATTATCTTGCGTATTTTTCACGACGATGGCAGGGAATAAGGCAGGGAATAAGAACTAGGGCGCTTATATGTAGTTTATGCTCTGAGCAAACGGAAAAGATGGGTTTTTCAGGGTCGAAAACAAGATTTCAATCTCGCGCTGGGAATGAATAATAAGATCTGCTCACGCTAGTTGCAAGCTTACGCGTATGTTTTT